TTTGGAACATGACAGCCAGATACTTGACACTGTATGCTTTCTTTGTATGTAAAAGAGCAGTGTGAACATTCTGCTGAACTTCTCCTTTTGTACTCCTCAATAGAAAATTAGAAAGAAAAGAAAAGAAAAGTCATACAGGTTTGGAACAACATGAGCATGAGCAAATGATGACAGGCATTTTATTTTCAGGTCAGCAGCTTTGAAACACTGGATTGGCTGGGCTGTAATAATTGTATAATGTCCTTAAGATGGAATAAAGAATTGGCCTTGATTGCATCATCATTTCATTTCATGGTTAAGGAAGGAATTCAGTAGAAAAGCCTTAGCGCTAGAGAAGATAATGCCCAGTTTGCCCTTTGTTCTCATGCAGTCCAATGAAAAACCTCCATACACCATTCCTGACTCTTTGTTAAATAGTCTTTATTGTCCAATAGCAACCGGTTGCGTCTAGAAAATAAGAACAGATACTGCTAAGCTCTATTTATGAGTAACTCAACTCTGCAATTATTACCACACGTTGTCTTTTGAAATAAAAATCTGCTTCAAGCAAGTGATGGGATCGAGAATGCTGTTTTACTGTCACGCAGGAACACCAGTCACAACACACTGTGCATGAATGACAAGTTGTGCAGTCGTTATTCTGATCCACGTCTGATCTCTGCTCTTTCACCAAACAGACACCAAGTGAGTGCAAAAAGCTCTCTTCTTTCAGCAGTGTCCTTCATTTAAGGTCTCGACACACAAACAGCTTTGTCTTCACTGACAGAAATCTGCATGTGGACAATGCCTCCCTCCTCCTCGAATTTAAGAAGCCCCCACATTTCACCCCCTACCCTGCTTCTCACCCCACTTCACAAAAGGGGCCCCAGCTTGGCGCAAAACGTTGGCGCAAAACCCTTAAGAGCTCCACAATGCTCTCCCCTTCTCCATGGCAACAACAATGGAGAGCCAGAGCTTTTCAAAACTCTTTTTCCCAGACTTCCTTCAGAGGACGTCCATGAGGAGACCCTATAGGATGGTTCGGATCCATTACCAGAGGATTTAGAAGGCGGTCAGCTTGCTTAATGCAAGTTAGCCAGTTGAAAGGACCAGCATATGTTGTGATTTGGTTGCTGGTCCCCACTAGGCTTCTTAACTACCTTAACCAGCATGATTTTCTTGGACCTTCTGGTCTAGCAATCACCAAAACAGGCACAAAACCAGCAAGGAAATTAATGCTGGTCTATGTCAGCATTAAAAGTGACCTGATAGCTTGATCTCTGCTTTTCTCTGAAAGGTTCACAGATTCCCTGCATGGTTTAGATGCTTTGAAACGCTGATACGAGATAAAGATTCCATACATGATGATTTAGAACGTGCCGCAATAAGGATAAAGACATATGCGCTGCCATTAACTGGACAAATGTGTGCGCCACACGCTTTGCATCAGCTGCTGCGTGAGATTTCACTTAGACGAAGAGGGGATGGATGAAATACATCAAAGGTTCAAAAGATAAAGATGAAAAGATCAAAGATTATGAGAGGTGCCCTACCTTTAAAATAAAACTGTAGATAAAAAGTATGGCTGAAGAATTAACCACAGATGGTCTCTTCCTGGCAGCTCACTCTCTCAAATTAGATATCGAATTATCACTCAAAATCCAGAAGCGCTCTAGATAAGGCTGAAGAAGTTATCTTTACAAACTGTTGTGAATGGAATGCACCCCTGGCATTCAGTCAAGTTTATTGAGTGAACGTAAAATGATGCAAAATAACTAGCACTAGAGATGAGACTTTATGCTGGGAAAGAGAAGAACCACCGAGTCAACATGAATGTAGATGTTACTTCATATTCTATAAGTGTAAAAACTTACAGTGTGCTTACATAAAACTGCATTTATATTAATGCAGTAGAAAATGTATGGACTAAAAGGTATGTCCTTAGATATGTCCAATAAGCACAATGCATCATGTGTATCGATTTCTTTTTCAGTATTAAAAAAATTAATGGTAATAGTTGGCTGAAACTTTAAAAACTTTTTGAAACTCAGGGAGCTTAACATGACAATGTTTAAAAAAAATTTTTTTGGCACTTTTAATAAAGTGTCAATTCCTTCCAATTCAGCCTCAGATATCAAAAGGAACTGACAAATGGCCAAATTGGAATTGTGGAGGGAAATTTTCTTTCTTTACAAATATTGGTGCATATTCAGCTTTTGTTGTTGTTGTTGTATGTAACTCTGCAAGTGGTCCTGCATTTAAAATTGTACAATAATTCTATATAATTAATCTGAATCATTTAAATAGATATATTTCTAATAAAACATGTAATTGATTTAATCTAAAAAAATATTTATATTTATATTTATTAAATGCAAAATTATCTTTAAAAATGTTTTTAAAATGTATATGCTAAAAGAGAAAAATGGTCAATTAAAAAAGGTATGCATCTATACCTTAGTAAAAAAGTAATACATTTAAAATACATTTATTTCATAGCAAGTATAGTTCAAATCTATTAACATATTTACTGACATGTCGCTCGAGACTTACTAATATGAAAATTATAATTAAATTTTATTTGGAGTACTACTTGTGTGCAAGACACTTTTCTTAATATTAAGCCTTAAATGTGTTTTAATGTCACTATTGATGAGGATTTAAATGCAAGATATTTAAAGTGTATCTAAAGTATATTTGCAATAGCTCCACTTTAGCACAATCAAATATAATTCAGTATATCTTTATTTGGACCTTAGCACTATTTCCGCACAATTTAAAGGGGTAGTTCAGCCAAAAATTTTAATTCTGTCATTAATTACTCACCCTCATTTTGTTCCAAACCCGTAAGACCTCCGATCATCTTCGGAATGCAAATTAAGATATTTTTGATGGAATCTGAGAGCTCTCTGACCCTCCCATAGGCAGCAAGTGTCCTTACACAATCAAGGTCCAGAAACGCAGCAAGGAGTTCGGTAAAATAATCCATGTGACATCAGGGGTTCAACCGTCATTTTACGAAGCTACGAGAATACTTTGTGCGCAAAAGAAAAAAAAAACTTTATTTAACAATTCGTCTCCTCCGCGTCACTATTTTGGAGAGTATCCACTGAACGTAAATTGTGTATACTGTTTTGTGTCAGCTGCGCCACGTGGATACGTTGTTTTCGTTCAAATCAAAGAAAACATATCCACGTGGCGCAGCATGACATAAATGTATTTCAAATACATTTAAGTATATTTATTTTCACTATGGTATATATAGAAATGTTTGTGTTCTCCCTCTATTGTCATCGTGTACTAGAAAGTTATTTGTCTGCCCACTAAGCAGCGACACATGGCATTTCTGAGAATCAAATTAAGTAACTGTGTCACTGGAACCACATGATAAAGGGTCATCTTTGCTATCTGGCTGATCCTGATCCTCTGTAAGCTGTGACAACCATTAAACAAAAGTAATCAAAACAACACAAAACAAACTCTAGCTGTACCCAGCCTACGTAGGAGTTTTAAAGGCTCTTCAATGAATCCCCTGTATTTTCTTGTCAAATGTGACATCTTATACAAGACAAACAAGTTTTATCACTGTGAATCTATGAAAAGCTATCACTCCATGGACATCAGTTCTAATCCTGATATCACGTGATATCTTGTTGTGACATGTAACGTGGTTTTCAATTTATGGATGGATTTCAGGTTTTTTTTTTCCTTTCATTTTTTACTTAAATTAACCAAGGGACATGTTATAGCTCGGGGATGCCAAATGTGAATAAAGACTAACTTGAAATCATAAGTCAAGTCGAAACCTCCTTTGACACATGATCAGTCACTGTCTAATAGGCAGGACAGTCTGTAAGCTTTGGCTCCTGGGAAAATGTACATGAAACAAACCACCTGACAGGTAAGAATGACATTTGATTTCTCCGAGTTTGAAAGGGAGAAGGGCTGACTAACTTTTATTCATGTTTGTGCATGATAGTAGTTAGTGCGAATATGTTCTAGAACATATGGATCTGAGGAATGTGGGGGGAGATCAACAACAGTTAATATGAAAATCGTTGGAGAGAAGCAATTTAGACAAAATTACATCTTACTATAAAACCACAGTCACTACACTGGGGTAGAGGAGACTATGAAAATTTTAAAAATGTCTAACAGTTTAAAACGTCACATCATTCATTGTGAGATTTAAAGTCAAATAGGTAATGATAGTAGTTAGTGCGAATATGTTCTAGAACATATGGATCTGAGGAATGTGGGGGGAGATCAACAACAGTTAATATGAAAATCGTTGGAGAGAAGCAATTTAGACAAAATTACATCTTACTATAAAACCACAGTCACTACACTGGGGTAGAGGAGACTATGAAAATTTTAAAAATGTCTAACAGTTTAAAACGTCACATCATTCATTGTGAGATTTAAAGTCAAATAGGTAGATATAAAATCACATTGGTATATATAAGGTCACATTATTTAATAAAAGTTACAATTGGAAGAAATAAAATTGTAATTATGAGGCATTGTGGCAATTACTTTTTTGAGGTGTAAACAGGCTTTAAAAACATCTTATATTCACTGAATAATATATTGCAGACAAGAATGTATAAATTGATGGCCACTTCAGAATTGCTGCAAATAAATAAGCTTAAGCATGATAATAGTTGCCATGGATATGCTCACTAGGGAGTGCCAACAAATATTGTTGAGCATGAACAGAGACACAGTAAAGATATAAAAATAATTTAGGGATTCAGGGACTGAGAACCCGCCTGAAGAGAAGAACATACCAGACAGCACAGGAGGAGGTAGATCACTATCACTAAGAGCATCAAAGAAAACCAATTAATACAGTGTGAAAAGAATAAAGCGTGCATAAATCCACTTCTACTATAGCAAGGCAACCCGCAAAGCAGATATTGGAAATCACTCAACTACTGCACACAACCTTTGGCCAAATAATGGACTGCTTTTTAAAAGAAAAACTGTGGCCAAATAATGTGGTATCATGTGAGTCTCACCTGAAACCGTCACCCTCATTGTAGCCTCAAGCGGCCTGTTGTTATCCAAGTCCTTGCTCAGCTTTAGCTCCCCAGTGTGTTGATTGAGAATCAGCAGGTTGAGCTCATTTCCCTCAACAAATGTGTAGAGGAGCTTGTCGGACACATCTGGATCACGAGCAGGCACCTTCCCAATAACTCCTGTGGGAAAGCTGCTGGACTTATTGGTGATGTAGTTGTTGAAAATGATCTCAAAATCCTGTAGAACTGGGACGTTGTCATTGACATCTACTAGGAGGACATGTACAGTGGCCCGGCTGACAAGTGGGGCTGAAGTGGCCTGGACCACTATTATATACTCCATCTTGGTCTCAAAGTCTAGGTCAGTAAGGGCGATTAGATCTCCGCTAAAGATGTCGAGCTGGAAGACTTCAGGAATATTGCCCTCTACAATCTGGTAGAGGATCTGGGCATTGGTACCTTCATCTGGGTCTGTGGCACTTACGCGGGCAAGAGTGGATCCTACTGCACTGTTTTCCTCCACGTAAAAGTACAATTCGTCCTTCTCAAACACAGGGGCATTGTCATTTATGTCCAGCACGGACACATGAATGTCCACAGCTGCTTTGAGAGGGGGCACTCCTTTGTCCACCGCAAACGCCTTGAGGCTATACAATGCAACATTTTCCCTGTCTAGCTTGCGGGCCGTTCTGATGATCCCAGAATAAGGCTCAATAAAAAAGTCCCCCTCACCATCATCTCCTCCCTGAAAGGTGTAGCTGAGTCGACCGTTAGATCCAGAGTCTCTGTCTGAAGCGGATACCTGGAGTACACTTGTGTATACTGGTGCATCCTCAAATACTGTTCCCTGGTAGATGTCCCGGAGGAACTGGGGTGCATTGTCGTTGGCATCAAGAACAATGATCTCTACATAGGTTGTGTCTGATTTCTGGGGGATTCCGTTGTCTCGGGCAATGATGGCTAGCGTGTAGGAGGCCTGATCTTCATAGTCGATCTCAATTTGAGTCGTGATGGCACCAGTGTCAGGATCAATTTTGAACTGTGGCACATTGTCCCCCATTACATAAGTGATGCGGGCGTTTTCACCAGTGTCTTCATCAGTGGCACTGATGACCACGACGGTGGAGCCTACAGGTCGATCCTCGCTCACTAAAACCTGGTAGTTGGCACTTTGAAATACTGGTCGATGGGTGTTGGCATCAGTCACATTAATGAAGACTTGAGCTGTGTCGTGGCGCGTACCATCTGAGGCAGTGATTGTTAAAAGATACTGCCGTTCTTGCTTGTAGTCCAGAGGTAGCGCTAAAGTAATAAGTCCCCCTCCGCTCTGGCTGGTAATAGCAAACCTGTTCCGAGTGTTCCCACTAGATATTTGGTATGTGACCACGCTGTTTACATCCCTGTCTACAGCAGTGACTATAAGCACACTGGTGCCCACAACTGCATCCTCGTTGACTTTTAGGTTATACAAGTGCTGTGTGAAGGTTGGGACATTGTCATTTACATCTAGTATAGTGACACTTACACTAGCTGAAGATGACATTGTAGGAACCCCGTGGTCTCTGGCCTCAACACCAAAATTGTAAAACTCTGTAGTCTCCCTGTCCAGCTCAGCACTAACCATAATCCATCCAGTGTTGTTATTGATAATGAATGGAAAACTAGGTGATGTATCGGTCAGCTTGTATTCCAAATGAGCATTGTCACCTGAATCAGCATCGATAGCTTGGATGTGTAACACAGAGTAACCTACAGGAACATTTTCTAAAACCGAGGCTTGAAAAGGCGTGCTGACAAACATGGGTGCATTATCGTTGACATCTAACACTTGGATTGCAACCATACCTGTGCCATTAATAAGAGGCGGCCGTCCTCCATCTTGAGCTTTCACTCTGAGTGTGTACTCTCTTATCATCTCATAATCTAAAGGGCTGATAACATCAATGACTCCCGTAGGGGAGTGTATGTAAAACTGTCCCTTTATATTCCCATTGATGATGCTGTAATGCACTTTCGCATTATTTCCAGCATCTTTATCCGTAGCCTTCACCACAGCCACTTGAGAGTTCACAGCTATGTTTTCAGGAACTTGAACTACATATCGCTTCTCGCTAAACTGAGGGTAGTTATCATTCTCATCCTCTATAAAAATGTGCACCGTGGCTGTGGCGGTTCGTGGCCCGGGCTCTCTGCCCTGGTCGTTAGCTTCAACAAAAAGCCTATACTGTGTTTTGACTTCTCTGTCTGGTCTGACTCTGGCTTTGACCAACCCATTTCTTGGATCAATTTCAAAGTAAGCCTTCACCTCATCATCATTCACAATCTTATAAATCATATTGGCATTAGAGGGCGCATCTCCATCTGTAGCCCTAATAGTCATCACCTCAAAGCCTACTTCAACATTTTCTCGAATACTAACCCTATACTCATTCTGTTCGAAAACCGGCGCGTGGTCGTTAGTATCACTGACTGTAATAGTGAGGTACGCGATAGCTGATCTTTTCGGGGTTCCTCTATCAGTGGCAGTAACTTTAAACACATGAGTGTCTTTAACTTCCCTGTCTAGAGGCTGTAGAGTAGTTATACCTCCCGTCTCAGGGTTAATTTGAAATAAATTGTTAGAGCGGCTGTCAAAAAGAGCTTCCATATCGTATTCGATAACACCGGCGTCTCCGTCATCGGCGTCGAACGCTTTGAGGGTAATGACTCGCGTTCCTGAGGGCTCGTTCTCTGGCACCGATACATGGTAGTTTGGGAGCTGAAACTGAGGAGCGGAGTTCACGTTTCTTTTTTGACGTTTAGCCCACGGGTCTAATTCACTGCCAGTGTGTTCTCTGCTTAAGTGTAACTTAACATTTACAAATAAAGAGCTATTTAGTGAGTTAGGCATTAAACAAAGCAAATTTGCCTCATCTCGCTGCTTATGAGGTAAACAGAGGTTCGCGCCTGTGAGGGAAATAACACGCCGCTGGTCTTTCTCTACGCACCGACCGCGAAACATTTGGGAATTCCGCATGGATACAGGCAAATGTTCGTAAATGTTTATAGGTAAGGAGTCCAAAGAAAAACATGTCTCATACCCAGTCAACAGATACATGTAGGCATCTGGATTAAGATTTTTTCTTTTGTATTTGATGAAGCAGTTCTGACCATGCACGAATGTATTGAAATGAAGCAGTATGAAGTTTTCTGAAAGCAGTGATTTAATCCGCAAATACAGTGGCACGGGATTTCTCGGTAAACGAGTGCAGCCAACTTTGCGCGCGACAGATAGCAGCCCATCACTTCTCCCGATCTTCACGAAGTGTCGTAAAGACTTATCTGTTAGACTTCTGTCGATTCTGTACGTCCATTCTGGTCCGATTGATACATTTGCCAGTGTTGCACCAGGCTGGAGGGACCCTGATAGATGCAAATCCACGCATCCAAACGGTGGGAGATGAATAAGTAATCCAAAGCACATCCATATCACTGGTAATTCCATGGCTCACGCGCATCTTATTCGGAAAATTATTCCAAACGATCCAGAACGTCTACAGTCCGCAAAATTCCAACCATTCCTGTAACGTGGAAGTGCACATTGGGTCAAGGCATGTTTCTGTGTGCTGAGCAGCAGGGACCAGAGAGCTGCACTGATAAGTTTTAATGAGTAAAACGGCTCTTCTCCCTCCCCTCCCACAACAATTTGCATGGACCTACTCATGCATTGTGATTTTGAAATAGGCTATCCAATGAGCTCAACCGAAAAGCTTTCATTCTTGGCTATCAAAGAACATTTTTTACATTTAAATGTAAAATTAAACATGTTATCAATCCACTTTTTCACGTTGTGAATTCTTCTTTACATTTTCCTTTAATGTAAAGGTTTGTAATGTATTTCTAAAGACTGACTCAAGAAAAAAAGTTTTTAAAAAGTTGGCCTGGAATACAAATTTTCTGTCCATTATTAAAAAAATTTACAATTCTCTCAGCATAACCAATAACATGTGCTCTGAACACATTTCTTCACATACTGCTGAATTTTGATGAAAACTGACTTAAGCCTGAAATACACTACACAACTTTTAAAAGCAGATTTTTAAAAAGACATTATACACTTGCCAAATAGAGAAAAATTGTACATCATACTCTAAATGACTGAGGATCACATGATAACAGACTTTCAGATCATTCTGAACACAACAAACTCATGCAGAAACACGTGTCTCATTACCAGGAGATGCATGACTAATGAAAACAAAATGTGTTATTAAAATCAGCTCAAAATAATGTTTGATATCTTCATGGATGAAATCAAAGCCTGAAACTAAAATAAAAGATCAGATTTTGCGACCATCATACACTACACGATTTTCTGTGAAATCTGTCAACTCAAATCTGCGGACTGGCTCCGACTTTCAGCAAATAGCATGTACTCCTCCAGACTGTAAAAGTTATGTAATGTATTCCAGCCTTCATAAACACAAATTATAATTATTCAAGGGATAGTTCACCAAAAAATGAAAACTCTTCCCAAATACCTCCCGCATATCTTAGTTGGCATTTCATGGTTTGAAATGACATAAGGGTGAGTAAATGACAGAATTAAATTTTTTGGGGTGAATTATCCCTTTAACTTTGTGCCCAGAAGTAATGAATGTCAAACCAAAAATCTAAACAGAATTCAGGTTTCATTTATTGCAGTTGTTGGATACAACATTATGTAAATGTTTCAAACAAAACTGTTAAATTCTTCCAACCAAAAAAAAATAATTGTTTCCCCCACTCAACTATTCATTATTCCATGGAACCTCCCTGAATGAGGGACATTAGTACAAAAATGCCCACAATGGGTATCATCATATTGTAAGTTATCAGTGAAAACAAACAGCCCAGGCAGCTTAGTGTTGTTTCTGACTAGATATGGTCAAACTGTCTGATAGAGCCGACAAAGCCAGGATACTACTGGTAATACGGTCTATATCGTGACTGGTCGGGGTGGTGAGGCCCTGGCATCTGTCCCTGTGGTGGCGGCCCCTGCATACGGGGTGGATGGGGGCCACGAGGATTGGGCCACATCCCCGGGCTCATGGCGCTTGGTTGGGTGAAAGGTGGGCTAAGAGTGCCTTGGTCCTGTGGCATTGAGTTTGGGTTGTAGTGATGCGCACTGACTGGGGGAATGGGACCAGGTGGAGGGTGATTCATGTAGGGTGGCAACTGGCTGATGATGTGTCCGGGTGGAGGTGGCGTTGACATGGGAGGTGCTTGGTTGTAAACCATGTGAGGTGTAGCTGAGCCCTGCGGCGGGTGCTGCATGGGGATGCTGAGAGGGGGCGGTGGGGGCGGCGGAGGCCCGTAATGTGGTTGTTGTGGTGGAGGCATGATATGGTGTGGGTGGGACACCACTGGTTGGCTGGAGTAATCACCAGGGTGATGGTGTGGAGGCGGGCCGGGAGGGGTCTGTGGGTGTGGCTCACGGGGGGAGGGGCCTGAGCTCCCAGAGTCATCATGAATGGGCACTGTGATGAGGTTGCTATGCTTACGTGTAGTCAATGTAGCGATTCGGAAGGTCTCTTGGGGGAGGGGCCGTGGGGAGGGTCCCAGATCGGAGGGCGAGGCTGGAAGTGGATGGTTGTAGGTATCATGGCCTTGCAGAGGGGGAGGAATGAGAGGGTGTGTTTTAGCCAGGTGAGGAGGTGGCGGAAACCGGAAGCGGTCTGGTGGGTCGGAGGCCAGGGTCGGGTGTGGCGGATCCAGGCGAGAGGATCCAGTCTTGCTGGCCCTCATGTGGCGATGGTTGATGTGGGCCTGCAGGTCTCGCTGTGAGAGGTAGGTGCGTTTGCAGCCTTGCACGATACTGCACATGAAGAGGGAGCCACGCTGGCACTGCTCAATGCGCTGGACTGGGTCTGAGCAGCTGTAGAGGGACAGACTAAACTTAAGATTTAGTATGGGAAGTGGACTTAGATACACATATTACTTATAATATTACATATTATGATTTCCATTTAGATCTGGAGATATTTACATCAAGAATGAAGAAAAAAACCTGCAATTCACATTGCTCTCTAAAAGATTAGAAACACCCTAGGCAAAGTTTTTGGACAGTATCAGCATAAATTCACATAATTTATTGGCATAAATATATCATAGTAACGTCTACCTAAGCAATTATCATTTAATTTTCTTTTTGATTATATAATAATGGCAGTATATACAGGTCATATTGAGACTGTGATGCCTGATTACTGGAGAAATTTAGGTACAGGTTTACTTGATGGACATTTAAGGTTAGTACACAACAGACTATTTAAACACAGCTTGCTATAATGTTTTAATATTTTTTTGGTTTCCATAAGAATCTCCAGATTTACACTTAAATTTTTCCTCTTTGTTATAGTTGAAAAGTCTCTGAAGATCGCAAATAAATTCATAATTAACAGAAGGCAAAAAACCTATTACAGACAGAACAAAATTTCGGATTTATTGGTATCTGACTCAAATCGGTTTTGTTGTTTGAAGTCCAAACAGCAAACAAAAGCACAATAACAGTAACACACTGATTAAAATTCTAGCTAATGTGAGCCAATTATTTTTATTTAATGGCTAATAACTGACACATGAACAATTTTTTAATTCTATAATATTTTGTATAGATAAAAAAAAAAAAACTTTATTTAAAACTAAAATCAATCTTTTTAAATGCTACAAGTCTATTTAGGCATCACAACATTATAATGTGTTTGAGATTTGGTAAATACTAAATTTAGCAGCGTTATTAATTTACTATAAATACTAAACAATAAAAATGAGAAATTATTATTATTTTAACTGAGCATTATGTGATACAGATACACATCAACCAATTAAAACAGCTTAGAAATGCTATAGTTTTTTTTTTTGTATGTTCTCAGTTAAATAACAAAACAAAAAATAGCCATCACAAAAAAAGATTTATGCCGATATTGTCGAAAATCCCATTATGACCAAAAATTATTTAATACTAAAACAAATCCGGAAAAATCTGAAAAATTGTATATATCATGATATCTCTTCTGGAAAGTCAACCTAAAAATGTTTTATAATTATGATGTTATAAAATACAAAAATATAAAACTACATAATTTGCCTATTTTTGGTAATCTAGTGAGTTAAAAAATGATTTCATTAAACATAGTTTACATTTAATTATTTTTTATGTGAAAATTAATGGTCGCAAAACCTAAATAAACTATTTTCAATATCAACTAACACCTAAAACAAACATTCTAATAAAAGATGATTTATGATATTATGATAATAAAGATGTTCTAATTAAATAAAGCTTGCTGAATGAGTATCGTTTTCATATCAAAATCCACTCTATGGATTTTTTTCACATCATCTGTCCACTCTATGTATAGAAATAGGTACTCTTAATAGCACAACAACCCTGGATATTTAAAGGGGTCATATGATGCGATTTCAATTTTTCCTTTCTCTTTGGAGTGTTACAAGCTCTTGGTGCATAAAGAAGATCTGTAAAGTTGCAAAGACTAAAGTCTCAAAACCAAAGTGATATTCTTTATAAAAGTTAAGAGTTAACCACGCCTACCTAAAACGGTTCGTTCTAACACACCCCCACATATCTACGTCACAATCTGGGAAGATTGGCATAACGCCACCCAAATGTTCACGCAAAGAAAGAAGACGTAACTTTTATTCTCGCTGTAGTATTGTTGACACTGCCGCCATGTCGTGAAGACGCTGTGTGCTTCGTTGTGAAAGCGAAACTACTTTGTTTGGTCTTCCAAAAGAGGACGATATCTGCTTCATCATGCCTGGAGCTGATCTGTGCTGGTCGCTGAGGGAATACATCAACTTTCACCGTGGACAAAGCGGAGTCCAGCCCGCCTCAGCTCACTCTATCCCGGCCTCAGCGCACGCTAAGCCGGGGCTTCCCCTCACGCTAGGCCGCTGTGTTTTTCATTGCCACTGATGAATCAAACGCGAGTTTTGGGCAGTAGAGTAGCACTTGTTGTTTGTCATTTCTCCGATCACAAATGCAGACAGAGTTTTGTGTTTACGCGGCAAGATGCAATGCAACGCAACGCGTAAAAAGACAGTATAAGTCATTATAATCAGTAATTGTGTTCCCACTGGATGCAACAAATGCCTCGTTTATAATGGGTTTTAATGTTTATGTCTCGTCGCTCCGGCCGGACACAGCATCAACAGTATGTGAGGGGCGTAACATTTCCGTCTCACGCTTGAGGTATTCAGCCAATCACAACGCACCTCGCTTTTTCAGACCGATGAGCTTTGTAAAAATCGACACGTTTCAAAAAGGCGGGGCATAGAGCAGAAACAATAATGTACAGTATGTGGAAAATACTGTGTTTTTTTTTTACTTTAAACCGCATAAACACATTTCATTACACCAAATACACAAAATAATGTTCTTTTTAGCAGCATCATATGACCCCTTTAAGACAAGTGTGTACATCTCAACCACATCCTCTTATTCTAACACCTACAGACGTTACCAAGGAAACGGAACATAGTAAAATTTTCAGATTTGCTTGCATCTCATCCCACTGACAACATTTACAGAAATTTACAAAACACTACCTTCACTCAAACTTTACAGTATATATCCGGAATGGACACTGTTTTTCACTTATAACTCAAAACAAGATACAATCCACTTAAACTGTTGTTGGAGAAACTCACCCAGGGCACATCTTATCACATTTCTTCTCGTAGTGCACTGCACAGTCATAGCAGAAAACATGCTTACAGGGAATCTGAAGGAAGCAACATTTTTTTTTTTTTTCAATGAAAGATCTCCAGCAGTATAAAGAATGTTTTAGTGACTTCAACCTCCTTCTTACCATTCGCCCATAGATCTTTATGGGCAGACCACACTTGTCACAAAAATGAACTGGAATGTCATCTTTAACTCCTATCAAGTTGAGCTGAGAAAAATAAGCAGATATCCCTCATTTCAAATATGCTATTAATTATTAAAATATTGTATTAAATATTTGCATTATTAGAAAAATACTTTAAAGCTGCAGTCCGTAACTTTTTTTGGTTAAAAATGATCCGAAATCAATATTTGAGCAAGTACATAACCAGCCAGTGTTCAAAACTATCGCCTTACTTTAGCCCGATTCATAACGGTTATCTTATAATAATGTTTTCTAATTTGAGTGGTACGGGTAGGTTTTCGCTGGAAATTCGAGCATGGCACTATGCCATTACGTCACGTCTGTAAACATAAAGAAGTTGTCCCGGCTAGTAGGCTATCGCATGTGAGGATCCTGCAGGTGGACGATCGTTTATAGCCTTTTCTCACAGCAGACAGAATAATTAAATGTATCATTTTGATGGCGGACTGTAATCCATAAAGGATTATGTGTTTATGAAACACATGTGAATGAAATTAAATTATATTCCAGTTATAAATGTGCTTCTGATTACAGATAGCCTGGGATTACAAAGATTTGTATTTTAAAGAGAACCAGTTCGAAGGGAGCATAATTAGCTTTTTGGGTTAAAATAATTTCTTAATATGAAATTTTATATGAGTATGACAATTAGATTAGACTGTACAGAAATTGCAATCTACACGCTAATACACACTATACTCATAGTCACCAATGCTGATATTGTTAACATTAATCATTTGAGAATAACGTGTAACAATAATAATAATGTGAACGGTTTGATGTGATATGAGCTAACCGATCTTTAGATTTAATCACCATTGGTAGCGAGATTTATGGTAATGCTTTCTTCCTCAGTCGGTCAGAACAAACGTGTCAGACTTGTTACTTACCTGTTCAGATGACAATATACGGTGAAAATTCTTATTTGGGTCATATTCCAAGACGTAGGCTAGAATCTGTGATTGCGAAGTACAGTAAATATCCACACCGGTGCAGTGACTGACTGCCACACTTACTCTTCAGAACATTAGATTCATCCACGCTGGAGACGTGCCGAAGCACAAACCACGCAAGCTAGATAATTCCGCACACAGCTGCAATTCCAGGTTTTCAAACAGAGATGGCGACAAAGAGGCAAAATTTACAGACTGCAGCTTTAAAAAAATATAATCTAATTTGTTGTAATTAATTGATGATAAATGTGTAACCTTATAATCCCAGAAGATTGGTTGAGGGAATCTGCGCTGGTTTCCATAAGCATCTCCAGATTTACACTCAAATCTTTCCTCTTGGTTATAGCTGAACGGCTCTGGAGATCACAAAAAAGTTCATAAAGAAAGACAAATAATACATGGCAAAAAAAATAAAAAATTACAAATGAATCAGCACTACAGTTTTATTAATTTAATGTGATTTATTGGCATATCTGACTCAAATCCACTTAGTTATTAGCACAGGGATGTGCTAATATTAAAATTCTGACTGATGCTATTGGCTGATAATTATTTTCACGCTATGGCTAATTAACTACCAAATGACCAATATTCAGATTCTATACTATTTTGTATAAATAAATTTAAAAACAAAACACTAAAAACTAAAATCAATCATTTCAAATGCTACAATCTACAAACGTACTTCTCAAAACATTATAATGTACTGTATAAAAAAATGAATATTATTTTGCAAAATATTGGCGTTTTTGAATATTAACTGTGAATGTTAAATGACAGTTATTGTAATCTGAATGTAAAATAACAGAACATGCACAAATAAACTTTATATCAGCTGACACTAATAAATTTAAGCTGTCATGATGTAAATATACCGGATATTTTCTCACTTGGAATCTGGCAGACAGTCCTGGGCTGCGTTTCCCAAAAGCATCGTAAGCCTAAATTGATCGTAACTCCATTGGTTTCAAAGGGTCTACGATGTACTTAAGCTTACGATGCTTTTGGGAAACGCAGCCAAGAAAACACATTAGATTTACGTGTAAGAGGGAACGAGATGAAAACACATTCTTTTGCACACCAACCTTCTTCGTTTTTTGAGGGCAGTCTGGTGTTGGGACGCTGAGGTCGGGTGGGCAGCTTGCCTCTTTCCGTCTGTTTCGACAGTAACTTGATTGGGATCTGTCTGCGAACATCAAGACCTCCAAGGGATCCCGAACCATCAGTTCCTTGAAGGTCATTGTCTGGAAAAGCAAACAGATAACATCATTAATAAGTAATCTACATTAACAAGCACCATATTAAGTTACTGATACATTATGGATACACAATTCAGTACTACATTACACAATATTATCTAGGATATGAAAAATGAAATCCATTATTTAAAACAGGCAATATAGTACTGCTACAGACATGAGCGATTAGCATAAAGTAATTTATGAAATTAAGGAACACATAATAATCTAAGTGAGACCTGTGCTATTAAGCAGTGATCAAAATGTGCTTAATAAAAAGTGGAGAAGCAAACATTACTAAACTAAGAGTAACTTAACGTACATAGGAAATGCAGAGTTGTAGTCTTATCCAAAACGCATATACAATACATTACATAGTAACCAATGAGTAATACAGTTTAAATAGATTTTTGGGGGGTTCTAATGTGAATGTTTTCTGCGTTTATTTGAATCTGGCACTTGCTGGACGCGCGCTCCTCTGACGTTATTTGGTCATGTCAGCGGCTAGCTGGATGCATCCAATTTTACTGCGTTTACTGCGAGCACACACAAACGTGTAAATGACAGCAAGGGCTCGCGGCTTTACTGGTTTACCGGCCAGCCGGTTACCTTTCACACGTAAACATTTTGTGATTTTATACCGAAAGGCTGCAGTAAAACACTTCGTTACATTAGCTTGTAGCTCACCATTTTGGTCCATGACTTGACGCTGTACATCCTGCGATGAACTGATGGGCGTGGCTTCGTGTGGTTTATAGTTCAACGTTGCGCACAATTTACGCATATGATGTCTTCCGTCATGTCTGTTTTGTAATGTGCCAAGTTTTTTTTTATTTCACCTATGTAATCACCAAAAGTCGTGAAAAAGCGAAACCACACACAGAATTTAACAAAATGATTAATAAATAATGCAGACAAACCAAAACACATATTTAATATCATAAATAAAACATTTTAATATCAAAGTATAACGTTAATTATATATATTTTTCAACTTACAATGACATTTGAAAAAAACACACAGACAAAAAACACAACAAAAATAAACATTTACTATATCAAAATTAAAATGAATAAAATATTATATTTTATAAGTCTAGGATAACCTCTATTATAAGAGGTTTCAACACCACAGTTGAAACAGTGACATGGTCTCACAAAAGTAGGCATAAAGCCTATTAATTACAATGTATTTAGGACAGTCTGAAATATCATGAAACACATCGGAAATGCATTGTGGCTTAGCTTGTTGTATTACTGTAGATGCAAAAACATCATCTGATGCCTGATTTAAACGCTATTATTTGGCAGATCAAATTGTGCTGTAGGAAAAATCAGTCTATTCGAGGTATGCAACCTTCCATCTCGATCATTTCTGGCCAGCTTTCGTACTTATTGGTTTCCCTGTCATTCTTTATGTGCTGAAAAAGACAGAAAAAGGAGATAAATTGAACATTTGAAAAGTGTTTTCATTGCCTAAACCTAAGCACATAAATGGGTGAATTTAGGATTGGCATTACCTGCTCAAAAGTGACTTGTGTTATGGTTTTCTTCCCTCCCACAAAGAGCCAATTATCTCTGAATTTCAACTGGGAAATATATGAACTTCCAAGCTCTGCAATAAGTGTCCTTGCTTCATCATTAAGTCTATCATAAAGGAATCATATAAATCATGACATGATGAGACAACACCATGATAAGCTGCACATACATGATGAAAATAGAGATAGAAATTCTACTCTACTTTGTGGCTGGATCATCAAAAGTGGTGATCAACACAAGAGAACCATCCTCGATTGACTTCAGAAACTCTATCAGCTCCTCAACCTCTGTCAACAACAAAAGATTTATTACATACATGTGAACTGAGAATGCAAATCAGTATTTATAATGCATGATTATTAATTAACAACATGGTGTAGCTAAGTAAAGATACAACATACTTCCATTCCACATATTGAAGCTGCCAGTGTTGACGTGTTCACCTGTTTTTTCTGAATTTTTGTATGAATACGTAAACAAGAAATGTTAAAAATGTGTATTTATACCTATAAGAACACTGAACAGTAACTTCAAATATTTCTATGAAAAAAAAAACAAATTTATAAAAATATTATATTAGACATATTACTATATTATAAGACAAAAATAAATCATTTTAAAACATTATACGGAGTTATCCAAAAAGAAAACATGTTTGCAAAATAAAATGAATTTAATAATAATAATAATAATAATAAAAATGAAGCTAAAAGCAAAACATAGTACCTTTTTAAAGCAAAATTACAAAGCTCAACATACTTACCATTGATAACAGCAATATGAATTCCGCATCGGTTTCCTCGTCTGTCTTTCTCTATTATTCTAAAACAAAATGGCAGAACTAGTTTAAATTCTGTTAAATAGCACTTATTGCATTCATTTAATTATTCATTAAAAGTACAGACTGTAAATTTGACAACTTAAAGCCTTTACATTTTCCCCTCAAAGCATATTCGTGGTCCAATGATGTTTGTTGCGCCACTGTAAATCTTAAATGTATAATCATTTCCAGGACATGGTTTTGGGAGGCCACATTTGCCTTTAGGACCTGATAAAACATGCAGACACAGACATTTAATGCATACCCCTTTTTTTTTTACACTGACTGTACCAGACCAGATTGTTTGATAATTGCTTACCATCATCTTTGTGATTATCAGTTTTCAGTTGGAAAGAAGCTGCTCCCTCTACTGACCTTTCTGGGTTTTACAAACACATAAAACATGCATTGTATAGATTTCACAAGGAACTATAAAAAACGAATACATACATACATAAAAACAAACATACAGTACATACATACATAAAAGTATCTCACCTACTAAATCTGAAAATGTTAATTCAGGATTCGTCTGCAGGAGTCTGAAGACAAGGCATATGGATATTATGAGGGCAGCCACCATGAAAACGAATCTCAATTTTTCTGTGAAAGCAATTTATTCGTGATTATATATAATTCTCATTATACAGTAATATTCATCTTTGATTGTAGATTTAATGTCCACATAGTATCGTGCTCCTAATAGGGTGAGTTCAGTAAAAATAAGACAATTAAAGATATATTACAGTTTTTCATGGTTTTAGACCATGTTGGTCATTTATGGCCTGAGATCAACCTGGTGGACCTTTTAGAAGATCTTTTAGACCAGCAACAAAACAGAAGCTACCATGTCACAAAACCTGTTTGACCAGTTTAAGCAGACATGTCATGTTTTATCAGCAGGAACATATAATACAACAAATATAAAATGATATTAGTCGTCATAGAAGAAAATTATATTAATTATATTAAGGAGGGCTGTGGCATCACAACCAACTTTAAAAGCTGAGAATATATATAACTTTTATCATCTGTCAACTATGCAAAGAAGACTTTTGCATTCAGAGTCACTTCCAGGTACTGCATTGTGATACAAGACAATGTAGCCGGGAAAGAAAACACTGCACTGCGCTTCTGAATGAGACATCCATGTCTTCAAAAACATAACTTACTTTTGTTTCTCTGTCTCTTGTGTAGCACAAGGGGACCAACTAGAAATAAAAACGTCAACATAAACATAAAACAGAGAGGGAAAAGAGACAGAAAGAAATAAGGAAGAGAAGGAAAACCAACCTCTTCGAATGTATATCATGACTGAATTGTTATGCTCAGCTCTCCTCACAGCAACTGTACTTCCACTTGAAGTGAAGCTGAAGAAATTCAAGTCAATCAACACATCACGTTAGTAATTTTATCATTGGATCAATTAAAAAAAATGGATCAGTTTAAAAAAACTGAAAAGAAAAAAAGTTCGGCTTTGTTGTCCTTGCTGATCTAATTGATCAAAACTGCTCTAGACTTTAGACTAGGCGTTAGGATGACTAATGGCAGTGCAAAGGTAGTGCATTGTATTTAAACCATACTCTGTCCAACTTGATTTACTCGTTCTCTAGGATTCCAGCTAAAGCACAGCTAGTTTGTCAGCTTGCATGCGAATAAGTATGTTTGCTCTCGTTTCTGACTATCTTTAAATACAAAATTGATTAAAAAACAAACACATGTAGGCTAGCAATTAGACTAGAGCTGGTATAAAAAAGAGGTAGAAAGCAGTATCCTACTCATATAGAAGAACGATTCCCTTCGTATGTCCGCGTAGTATTTACAAGGAATTACTTTGATAAAGAAGAATATTGTCCATTTGTGGACCCCGTAGCCTCGCGGCTGTCTGTGTTTGTAGTTCTGCGCTCAGCAGCCAAGCCGCTAGATGGCGGTGTCGACTACAGGAGCACAGCATAGGCAGACTTCTGTATGCTGTCAAAGCTTTTAGTTGTAAATTAAGTTAATAAACATTTAGTGGAATTCTCTTTTAATCTATACTGTACTAAATTATTAATTTAATAATTATATATATAAACAGACAGGCTGATTCATTTATGATAGGCTGGTCTTGCAACCTGTGTCACCAGCCTCAACGCAGAAGCTTCAAGCAATCAAACTGCTATATGCTGCGGTGGTATTTTAAAATGAGGAGGCAGTTTTATATATAAATATATATATGTATATATAAATATAACATAAAAAATAGAACAAATATAATTCTATTTTGTATTTTATTAATATTATTTTTATTTAATTTATTATTTTTAATACTAGTTATACATTTCATAGTGTTTTTATGCATTTTTATATTTATTCCAAAATAATAACTAAAGGCAGTAACAATTTGAACAATATTCTGGAAACAGTTTACAATAAGGTTTCATTAGTTAACATTAGTTAAAGGTGCTGTATGTCGGATTGACACCGAGTGGTTGAACTAGGTAGGCTATTGCAGTCCAAATTCAAAATATTGGAGAGGGGTTTTTTTCACCCTGCCCCTCCTCCTCAGACTTGACGCACACGCAGGATGCCAGATTGACACCAACAGAAACGAGCGCACTTGACGATGAATTAAATGAAATACGCTGTGTTTTCCGCTAACTGGCAACCCGGGGTGCCGAAATACAATTGGGTAAACTGGCAGGGGGCGGGTTTCACAAACCAAAACAGAGACTGACATTCCGGCCCGAATGCACATTTTCAAAGGAGAATAACTGACTGTAGCATTGTTTTTCAGATAAAAAAGTATGTCAACTTAGCATGTTTCTTAAATATCTGCAAAAATATTATGGTATTTTTATGCTTTAGTAGAGTCAAAAACTTACATACAGCACCTTTAACTACTTTAGTTAACATGAACTAAGTATAAACAATAGCCTACTTCTACATCATTTATTAATCTTAGTTAATTTCAACATTTACTAATGCATTATTAAAATCAATAGTTCTGTTTATTAACATTAGTTTATGCACTGTGAACTAACATGAACTAACAATGAACAACAGTAGGCTATTTGTATTAACTAATGTAAACAAAGATTAATAAATACTGCAACAAATGTTCATTGTTTGTTCATGTTAGTTAACTCATTGCCTCCTCTCACCTGACTTTCCCCCATTCATCTCAATGAGCCTCTAGAAAAGTCATGGCAGGCTTTGGGGTCTCTGTAGAAAGTCTATGGACCGAAGGGAGGCAAGCCTCCGCTGTAACTTTACCTGCGGGTGTCGCTGTTGGGCAGTGTTACTTTATAAAAACGAGTGACTTTTAAGGTGCCGATATACTTCAAACGAAATCAAAGAACGAACTGATATGACGTCATTTCGTACAAATTCAGGCCGAAACTAAGTTCGTTTTGAGTTAGTTTCGGCAGTTCGAAACAGCTCACCAAAACGAACTTTCTGGGGCAGTTCGTTTTGGCTCCTAAATACCTTTGAGCTTCGTGGCGATTACGCAATCGGTGGGTGTGTTCTGAAACGCCACCTTCTTTGACATGAAGGCAAGTACGGGGTGGTTTAATAGTGGCCAAAGCTCAGTCAGTGATAGCAACCAGAATGTCGTAGGCAAAACACTAAACATGTAACGTTATAAAGAATTTAAAAAGACAAATCAACTCATATTCTACTAACCTTTGGACTTCCACACCTAAGAGTCTTATGATCTTTGATGGTGAAAATCATAATACTGTTTTTTTAAGACACTAAATGTTCAGCACAGCATTTATTTCAGTGCATTCATAAGCCTTGGTGGGAAAAAAAATAGTTTACTATTTAAAAATGTATTACACCTTAAGTATTGTAAACTACAGTGAAGTACATTGAACTGTACAGGGGTTAAATGGCATTCACTGCATCAGTGTTCACAGTAGTTTACTTGCCCTATTATAATTTTCACTGGCCTCACAGATTATAATTTGTATTTTTAAGTATATTTTTCTATTAGGCAAAAAATATTTAAATGTTTAATCTATGTCATGTAGTCAGAGGTGACACTAATAAAAGGTCTAGGCAAACTTAGTAGAGGCTGTAGCATTAGATACGTTATTTTGCAATGGTTTTACACCTAATATTATTATACTGACAAAAATCTAGCAGGTCAATCAATAAGGAAAAGGTGATTTTAATTTTCAACAGATCACAAAGTAATAAAAAATATTGTACAGTAGTTAAAGCTCTGATACAATTAGTTAATTTAGAAAACAAAATGTAGATATCTGCCCTACTTTAGCCCATAGATGTGGCTTGGATACAAAGTACTGCTTTGGTAAACAACATGGAAAATGTAGTTTCATTCTTTCAGTTTAATACAGCTCATACATTTTAGTCTGGGACTAGGCTTAAGTCTTTTCTGTGAAACTGGGGGGGGATTAAGCTGAAGAAAGTTTTATGGGTTAAGTTGTCAGATCCTGCAATCCTTGAACAAGTGTGGTGGTCAATGGATTTTTGGATGGAAGATACATTAGATGTACTTTCAGATATATCCTCTAGTCATTAAAAAAATTGATAATTGATTCCTCAACAGTAGTCAAACGATTCAGATGAGATCTTAGGTCTTTGCGCCTTTTGCTGACAGCAGAGTCCTCAGACAGGAGCTCATGCACATCTGGCTTTTCCAGTAATTTCATTGTGTCAATAGTCAGGAGCTGAGCAGTCTCCTGCAACATGTAAAAGGTGATCATCAAGGGCAGTTTGTCAGCAATCCTCTGCACTACAATCTTAGGGGAAAAAAGGAGTGAATTTGACAAGTTATGTCCTCACACCACAAGTACAGTGCAATTTGTTATTGAAAGAAGATCTAAGAAGATCTACCTCATAATACGCCTCCATCACATGACTGTAACGGCATTGTTTGTCAAAGACAGGTAACTCCTTTTCTGAAAAGGCTTGTTGGTAATCTCACTCAAGATCTTCAGGAAAATGGCATCTTAAGTGTAGATCCTATTTTCCATTTCAAACTGCTCCGAGATCCTCTGCTCTGCCTTTTTTAGTTGGGTTAACTGAATGTTGTTGATTTTGTCCTGTAGAATCAAGTAAAGAAGAATAAAGAAAAGACAACTTGATCAAACTGGACTAAAATCATCAATCTTTGCAATATTTGAGGAGCAATTACCTTAATAATGTTTTGAAGGACATGATAGTTCTGGAAACACTCACTCACCACGTCAGTGAATTTCTTAATGACAATGTCTTTGGAAGAAATGCATAAATCAAAAAGACAAATACCCATAATTCAGATGTGCTAAAACTATTAGGCATTCAGTTCTTGATCTAATCTTTTGGTTTTATAATGGAGTCTCTCCACAATGACCAGAAGGTCTTTAAACACAAATATGTGTGATGGTACCTTTCATGGCGATGAGTAAATAAACGGCTGGATCCTTAAGTTTGGCCACATGGTCTTGCAGAATCTTCTCAAACATTCTGTAGTTGCTGAAGCCGAGCAGTTCCCTCCCTCTGTAATTCTCGGAGGGAGGGAACTGCTCATATCAAAATACATATTTTGTTCAAGAAATATTTTGGTGCATTTCATCTTGTAGGATTCCAGCAGATTGGACCCTAATGATAATTTTCAGAAGCAAGAAGATTTGATGTCTTAAGGTCCTACTTTAATGAGGAATTCTTTGGCTCCATTAAGATCTTCTGGCGGTCCATCCTCACAGTCCCTAAGTGCTCTCTTCACACTCCACAACTGCTTTATTATCTGCTCATGAAGCTGTGGCAGTGACTTCTGACAAAGATAGGCAAGATACAATTTTATCTCAATCTCTCGCAATCCATCCTGCCACAAGGTGCAGTTCAATATATTCATGACATTTGAGACATTTAGAAACTTTGATATGATCCACAAGATCCTGAGTCAGTTTGACGGCAAGATATTTAATAGTTCCTTTATCCATTTCCAAGAGGCATCTGTAGGAAAAGATGGGCATTTTGCAAGGTGGCTTATTTTAGTTTATATAATGTAGCTTGATAAACAGATTTTATTAAGCAACACATTAATAAAAAGCCATTTTAGGATTCATTATGATTTCAAGACAGCTGTACCACCCTAACATTTTTACTTTATGAGGTTCAAAAAATAAAATAAAATAAATAAATGAATAAATAATAATAATAATTTTATTATTGAAAAATTACCGTAATAGATGCAAAAACAGTATATTCTTTTCAGTCTGTAACCTGAAATAGTCATGGTTTTGGAAGAAATCTCTCTCCATTTGTGCTGCCTCCTCCAGAGGGATTGCATCATCGATCTGCTGTTGTCCTCTACACTTCACCATGATGTAACCTTTGCGGAGAGGAATCACTTTGTTGTGGACAATAGCCAGAACACTCTTCTCTGTTTCCTTGTCTATGAGGTCTGGCTTGGTCAAAATGGCTGTGAGAATGAAAAACAGTTATTTTACAAAAAGTCAATTTGCTGACAGACATGCTGTAAGATATTTGGTGAGATATTAGATGTTGTGCAGATCATCTGCTTCATTACCCAGAGTTCTATTTTAAGGCTTCTGTTGTTGCAATGTCAGTGTCACAAGGGACCACATCCAGGTTTATAGTCTCACGTTTGTTAATATATTTCATGATCAGACGTTTTATCTACAATACATAGACACAGTTTTAAAACTGGATTGTTATTAGCTTGATAGTAAATATGAAGTGCAAGATCAGATTATAT